TGTACGGGAGGAAACAGATCAAGCAGTCATGCTTTCCTACATTCGTGTGCACATGTGCTACATTTAGGTTCCGGTCCGCTTGCTCGGAATAACAAATTGTTTTTTTGAGCAGGTGATACTTCCAGTATCACTGTTTGCAACGTTTTGCAAAGAAAATGCCACCGGGTGGGCACTAACCGGTTACCGGTTTCAGTTCAACTTTCAAAGATTTTTTTTTGTTAATTTGGTTCAAACCGAACTTACCCATTGGCTGTCGTCTAAATCGTGCGTAAAATTCGCAAACGCCGTGAGCGTCTGTGGTGCGAAGGGCCGTGCTGGATTGAAGTGGGTGATGTTGCTTCGCAGTCTCAGCTCATTCTTTGGATGGTCGCAGGCGTAGACACGTTTCACGTCAGCTATCCATGGTCCCTTTGGAATAGACGAATAAAGGACGAAGGCAGACAAACGACTTGGACTACCAAAACACTTGAAATCATTTGTCGCAATAGACCATTGAACCGAATGGGGGAGACGAAAGAAAAGAAGCAAAAAGTACCGGAAACAGTACCAAAAACCAGTATGTAGATCATTTTTGTACACATCTGTGATACACCAACAAGTCCAGAATAAATATCTTGGTCAAGAAAACTAGAAAAAGTGAACGATTTGACCTGCTTATCAATACTGTTTGCGGTACTATTTGACTCTTTTCTTTCTTCTTCCACTGTCGGTGGAATGGTCTATTGATGGGTTGGTATTAAGGATTTCCAAAATAGCTGGAAAGTGCACTTTTCGGCCCAGAGGCTTCACACGCAGGTTAGGTTTTATGGCTTGGGACGCCGGGCTGCACCTGCGCCCTATTTATATAGAGGCGGGTGCCACGCCCGCGCAGCTACACTGTGAAAACGCTAAGAAAAGCTGTTGGCGATTTTATGAATTAAAATCTCGCCAACATAACCTTTTTTTTTAAACCGCAACCTTCAATTGCCCAGCTGTTGTCAAGAGCGTACTTCAATAGAGGAGGGGGTGAATATTTACAGCATGAAAGGAAAGCAAGTATAAGTTGAAGTCTCGTCAATGTTGTCGGTCGTTCCGCCCAAGCGCCAGTAATCCCACTGTCACAGTGCAGCTTAGTTTTTTCGCCTCACGAGAACCATTTTCCATGTGTGAATGCCCAGGCGCCCGCAGCGACCTGTTCTGGTTGACATTTCTCTAGTTCTGATATAGTGCCGGTTTGAATGCCCAACTTACGGCGAAAGTCGGTATGTTCTTGGCAACAGCTAGGTAACCCAGGCAAAGCTGACCAAACAGCACGAGGGATGGATACATCACCTGTTTATAATAAAAGAGATTTTAAAGTTCCAATGCAAAAGAATATCCATCGCAGAGGTGTTAAACGTTTCAGAGACTTATAAAGTATCTCGCGTTGTTAACGGATAAATTAACGTTTTTTAACACGTGCGGGAGAGGGTCGTTTGGTCCCCTAACCCAACCTAACGTAATAAAGCATTCCGGTTAAGCTGAAATGCAGAAGAATGCGGGGAAGAAGAAAACGGAAACCACGACGCGTTATCATGGTAGCTTCCATTTTATTGTTCCTCGCAGTCTTCTGCATTTCAGTTTTACCGGAATGCTTTATTGAAGTGTTCCACGCTATATCTTAAACGGACCGAAAATGCTTCATTATGTTTGTCTGTTTGTATGTCTGTATGTATGCACGATAACTCGTGAAGGAATGAGGCTTTCCGGTAAAGCTAAAATGCATAAGAATACAAGGAAGACGAAAACCGGAATCGCTATGCTTTTACATTGTGACTTCCGTTTTCCTATCCCCTGCATTCTTCTGCATTTCAGATTCACCGGCATGCTTTATTGAGATAGCGATCTAGGAATTTCAGGGTAGTTTTGTATCACGAAAAGACAGATCGAGTTCAAAGATAAGCAATAGCTCGAAAATTGACTCCTAAAAAAATCAAAAGCCACGGGTCACAAAATGTACTTTTTATCCACCGAGGAGAGAGAGACGGTGGGGTCACGAGGCTCTCCCAGCATAGGGTCCAGGAGGGCCTAGTGGTTCCAGAATCTCGACAGGTTGGGGGATTAACGGCCAAGTCAGGGCTATCTAACGTGCCGGTACAGAAAAACCTGCAGTCGGGGCAGCCTATGCAGGTAGCTGGGCCACCCGACTAAGCTTGAGCGGCACCGACCCTCTCCCGCCCGTGTTAAACAAGCAGGCCCGCCCTTCCGCCAAACGAAGTTGCCAGCTCCGCTTCGCTCCGCCGGCAACTCCGTTCGGCAGGGGCCGGGCCTGCTTGGCCTGCCGGCGGCGATGGTCGGGCCTGCGGCCCGACCATTTTTGTCACGCGATTTGCTGAAGAACATGATCGAATGATGAAGCAGGCCTTCGGCCCGCTTAAATCAGTCATCTTTGAGTTTGCCCCAAAGACTTGAGA